CATATATATGTATATACACTCACACACACTCTCACACCCTCTGAGCTCATTTAGATACATATATATTTATATATACACATGCATACACACATGTATACACACACACACACACATTTGTGAGTCTGTTTAGTGTTTTTTTATATGTATGTGTTTAGAGCTGACCACTTGGGTTTGCATAACCCAGCAGGGGACTCGTCCCTGGAGAAGACTGATTCTCTCTCTCTTAGCAGTCATTAATAGCATTAGCTCTTCATCTAGGGGTGGGGCCTCATGAGATTCCCCCATCCACATTGGGATGGTAGCCCATGTTGTTATTACATAGGTCTTGCATCGAGTTATTAACCTGAATATTTAAAGCCACTCCTTTAATTTTTGTTTGTTTCCCTAAATTTCAAGAAAAGCATTCATGTAGTGTAAGAGCAATACAAAATGAATATTTTGTAAAAATTGTCATTTGTTTTTACTTCGTTGGTTGCCTTGGGCTTTCAGTGGTGTTTCTCAGAGTCCTAGTAGGATTCCTAAGCTCTTTTAGTGCACTAGTTAGAAGGCAGATAACAAAGCTTTACAACTGCCTGGGAACTTTCTACTAAGTAATTCGGAGAGGTGAGAATAATAATGAAGGCATGAGGAGAAACCACAAGGCTGGGAAGCACACTTAGCCTGCAGGGGCTCTTCCTGAGCTCTTGCCCCTGCTCGCCAACCCACACATGCTCAGAGCTAAATTGGATGCCTGCTTCCTTACTGTGTTCCCAGTAGTTGCTCGTTCCCTTTGAAGGGCAGCTATGAACAACTGTATACATAAGGATACATGGTTTTTGTTTTTCCAAAAAGTAGAGAGAGCTGTGAAGCACTGTCCTAGTACCCATGGACATGGGCACAAAACTGGACCTGTGGTGTGTAGACTATGCACTGTTGACTCAGAGATAGCACACTTTTCCCTAATGTCGTTTCCTGAAACATTCTCCCAAAACATTTTATGATGATTATACTTAATTCCTTGCATAAAGACTTTAAGTTTATAACTAAATTGTGTAACAGTGGATTTGAGTATAGTTTTTCTTCCAGGTAAATGGACAGACGTTTTTAAATAATCTTTAAAATTTATGAATAGGTTTAAATAATAATTAATGAAGAAATTACTAGTCCAAATAGTGAAAGCAAGTTTTGGGTTGTGGTTTTTTTTTTTTGGTCTGCATCATTAATTTATGTATTTAATTGGACATGCCCTACATACATATCCAGAACCATCTCCCTAATTGACTGAAGGGCTGGCTGCCTAGGGCCATCATGGTTTCAAGAGGGCAATTGTTTTTGTCATTTCTCTGTGCCTGGCCTGCCTGGAACTTAGCAGACAGTTGTAATTATTGTTAATTGCTGTAGAGACTTACTATGCGGTAGGCACAGCAGTAAGCTTCCCAGTTACTGATGAATATTTGCTGAGAGTTGAAGAGAGAAATGCCCATTCATTGCTTCCAGCTTTCTCTGCTCCCCACAAGAAAGTCTCTCACTTAGCGAGAGTAGGAGCCTGGATATTTATGGTGATTTCATTAATTTTTTTCCTCATGGGTAGATTTTGATAATATTCCTAACAACCCTTTGCATTAAATATGAAAATTGTGTTGATAATCTTAAGGCTGTTTTCTGGAAGGAGTTGAGATTTAATCATAGTTTAGTAGGTTTATAGCAATTCCAATCCAAATAGATATCTTGGCAATCTCTCTTTGATGCCATATCTGGATACTAGGTACAATTTGTAACAATATCATAATATAAATTCACTCAAGAACTATTAAAAAGAATCTCCATTCAACCTAATATCATTATAATTTGGAGAACATATTACAGGTTCTAATCTGCTAATCATTAAACTTCTTTAAAGATTGATTTCATGCACCATTAGAATGCATTTGCCATTTATAAAATATTAAGATCACAACACCCAAGAATTATATCTGCTCGTTCCTTTTATTATAAAAATTGACCTGAATAAATAAATCTATTACAGGTATATGCTTAGCCTGATTAAACTAAAATGGCAAACTATTATGGATTTAATAGCACATGTATTGTACATCTTTTTTCTAGTAAATGATATAATTATTCAAACCAGAATGAAGGCCATGCTGCTGAAATGCCTTCACTCACAGTTCATTTGCTTAAAAGTACTTTAAATATACAGACATACAGAGAAAGTCACACACATATACATGCCTTTTATTTGTGGGCTTGTGGGCTTTTTTTTGTTTTTTAAATAGCTTCTGTGTTTTTAACCTCTCTTCCATCTTGTACCTCCTGTTTCCTCTCCATGTCTCTTGATGTCTCCTGCATGTACACCTCCATTCTTCCTCCTCTTCCTTTCTTTCTCTGGAAATCCCATCTATACCTCCTACCTAGCTATAGGTTGTTTAGCTTCTTATTACACCAATCACAGCAAATACATCTTCACACAGTATACAAATATCCCGCCACCAATAAACCCTACCAGAGGGGTGGGACCTCATGAGCTCCCCTTATCCACGATGAAATGCTGACTGGCCAAATCTTGTTCAGGTCTTATGTAGGTAACCATACTGCAGTGAGTCCCTGATCGCAATGTCTATGTCATGTCTTTTATCATTTAAATTTTTATTCATTGCGGAATTACATATGTGACTACTATATAAACATATACTAATATAAACATCATTTCAACCCCTCCCTTAATCCCTTTCTAATGCCTCCTGTGTCCCTGCTCCACTCTGACCCCAACACATAAGAATAAGGGTCCTGAACTGTGAGGTATTGAAGGGGAGGATCAGGGATGAGAAAAATAAAGAAGATAGAAAGCTGGAATCAAGAGGTCTGCATGAGCAGATGACTCCTACTCAAGGCTTATGAAGAAGTACAGCGTCTTATACATGGTTTGCAGGGGAATGGGACAGTCAGCAGAAAGCTGTTACACAATGGAATGGAGTCAGCAGGAACCTAATCAAGTAATATTGCACAACGGGATCACAGGATTTCTCAAGTGTGTCATTGACCAAGCACACAGCAGCCTGGGGACTGATAGCAACAGCCTTTTAGTTGGGGAAAGAGTTAGGTTCCCAGGTACCACAAACCTTAACCCTTCAAGGCCCTGGCTCCTGTAACAGGAATCTTAAAAGGTCTTATTAATAAAAACAAACCTGGAGCCAGATTAGTTATAACTTTTTTATTTTTTTTAATTTTTATTAGACATTAAAAGGGGAAATGTGGTGATATTTTATTTGTATGTTAATAAATAAAGTTTGCTTGAAGATCAGAGGAAATAGCAAGCCATTTAAGTAAACACAAAAGTCAGGCAGTGGTAGCACACACCCTTAATCCAATCACTTGGCAGGCAGGGTCTCTGTGTGTTCAAGGCCATACTAGAGAACAGAGCCAAGCGTGATGACACATGCCTTTAATCCCAGTACCAACCATAGAGACCTGGAGGTCTGTACAGACAGGCAGTGACAAGGAAGTGAGGTAGCTGGGCTAAGAGCCAATGAGAGGTCAGAACAGCAAGGCAATAAAAGCCTGGCTAGACAGGAAGTGGTGAAACTTGGAAGCTGAGGTGTGGTGAGGTAAGATTAGCTGGTGGCTATTCCTATTTCTCTGATCTCTAAGGCTTTCACCCCTATATTTGGCTCCATGTTTTTTATTTAATAAGACCACTTGGAAATTTGTCTACAGGCTCCAGCCTCATACCACAACTTATCAAGTCTGCTCCTGAGCAAGGACACAGAACTAGTGTTCCTTTTGTCCTTTCATCTGGGCCTCTGAGAAAGCTTTGGATTGGCCTATCCCACAACACCACTCCCTCTCAAATTTATGATTCTTCTATAATTGTGATTGGTTTACACACACACACACACACACACACACACACACACACACACACACACACCATTTAGTGTTGTTCATATGTGCATGTGTTTATGGTTGACCACAGGATTATATAACCTGTCAGAGGGGCTTGTCCCTGAAGAAGACTGATCTCCCTCTTTTGACAGCCATTGATGGCCTATAGGTCTTCACCTAGGCGTGGGACCTTGTGAAATTTCCCCATCTGTATTGGCATGTGGACTGGAATTATCACGTATGTAGGTCTTGTTTAGACAACTATATTGTTTTATGTGCCAGCTTCTCTGATATGTCTGTGTATGCTACACCATGTAGCAGGATATGTCCTGGTCTTCTGGCTCTTATAATTGTTCTGTCCCCTCTTCTGGAGATCCCTGAGCCTTAGGTGTAGGGGTTGTGTTATAGACATACCAGACGAGACAAAGCACCCCATGGTGTGTTTATACAACTCTTAAATCCGTTCTGCCTCCTCTTCCATGATGTCCCTTGAGTGATGGAGAAGGTAATATAAAAGTGGAGTCAATAATTCTGCCTGCACTTATTAAATTCTTTTTATTTTCTCACAGTTTTTTAATAACCATGATTAAGAGTATAGTAATTTTTATTTCATTTATTTTGTTTTACCATAGCATCTACAATAGAGTAATAGAAATATTAAAAACAAAATTAACTGGCGTTTTGAGAGCACCTGGGAGAGGGGGAGTCAATTTCCTTTAATGGTGTGGTTCCTGGTAGGTATACCACACTCAAGAATAGCAGGGCAGCACAAATTGGACTTGATGAGTTCAAACAAACAAACAAACAACAAAAACAGAAGAAAACTCAAAGATGGGTTGGAGGAAGGAGTTGGGGAAGGGTATGTGTGATTATGATCAAAACAAATTGCATGGAATTTTTATAGAATTAATAAAAATGTTATTTAAAGAAACATAGTTAACTGCACGATAAACTGATTTTTAAATTAATTTCCTTAATTCCTAAGATTTGGACTAATCTAGAGATTGTGTGTACTGTTGCCACTCAAGTTTCACAGAGCACTCAAGACATTTTGTTTTACGGGCAGTGCTAGAAGTCACTTGGGTTTGGGCAGAGTATTTGGAGGTTAACCTGAGGAATCTGTGTGTGTCCCTGTGCAGCACCTGTTCTTCCTGGAGCTTACCAGCAGAGTCATTCCCAAGGCTATGGGTACATGCACCAGACCAGTGTGTCATCCATGAGGTCAATGCAGCATTCACCAAATCTAGTAAGTGCTGATTTCAAACCTTCTTACAATCTGGGAGTATAGCTTGGTGGTAGAGGGTTTGCTTAGAATGTAAGGTTCAGAGTTCAACCCCTAGCACTGGAAAAACAAAAAAAGAACCCAATACATTATTACCTGTGTAGTTCTTTCAGTGGAAAAAAAAACATTACAGATGAAAAGTGATGAGAAACAATGATATTAATAAACATCTTCAAACAATAAAACCAACAAGACATCTACCAGTAGGAGATCCTTTTTATGTTACTTTTATGTTACTGTGATAAAACACCATGACCAAAAACAACTTACAGAAGGAAGAGAGTATTTGAACTTGTTTTTCAGAGGTATAAGAGCCCATGCCCAGGGCAAGGGGGCATGGTGGCAAGAGCAGGGAGCTAAGAGGTCACATCTCAACTGTAAGAACAAAGCAAAAAACTAATCTGGAACTAGGGCAAGTCTATATTCTCTCAAAGTCAACTGTCAGTGACATATTTTCGCTAGAAAGGGCATACCTCTTAAACAAATGCCTTAGCCTATGGAGAACATTTTCTATTCCAACCATGATTGGAAAGGTCTAGCTATGCTCTTCATCCAGGACTAAGAAGTTGCAGGTATGTGATACTTATGCCAAGGACATAATCTTCATGTTCATCATAATGGCCTCAGAAGTCTAATGGACATTGGCAAAATAGCTGATGGAAGCTTAAATGTTCTGAACACAAAGAAATAGTAAATAGATATTCCAGTTACTCTGATCTGACAGACATTGTAGCCAGGTATTGAAATACGATGCTATACCCCCAAATCTGTACAATTACTGATGAATAACAGTATCCATTAAACATCCCTGTTAGAAGTCTTGGAGTACTCATTATTCAGTTTGAAGTTGAGAATGATGCTTGCTTTGTGGTCATACTCGGTGTTTCATACTGAAATTGCTTCTCACAATACTTACAAGTAGGTGATGTTCTGTAAGACAACCAAGTGCTTTTAGGTCAGTGTGTGTCATCCAGTTTCCTCAGTCTCCTTAATCTATGAATATTTTTGGCTTTGAGATTTACTGATTATTAATATTAGATGAACTCTCAGCCTTGAACTAAAAAAATATAAAAACACAATTTAAATTTTTTTACTGTAACAAAATTTTCTTTATATGTACATCAAAAATAAGAACATTTCTGTAGGAAATTTATGATACTGTGATCTGAAATATGTAAAATTTAAATAAGTAAATTATTTCTTTTATATATTTTTAAGAGGGAACAAAAATTCTTTGTACTTATTTAGGAAAAGTTCATTTTCTGTGCAAGGGTGAGGAACCATTGGCAGAGAACCAGTGGACTAAGAGCCTGCTGTTAATGGGGTTAATCTGAAGAATGAGGGAACAGGAGGAAATCTGCATTCTCTAAGGCTTCTGGGATTATCTGTATGTGGGACCTGGTGTTACTCTTTCAAAGGCTACTTTTATACAAGCACACTTTTATTTATTGTATCTCATTGTTGTCTTTTTAAGTTAAGCTATTGTGCCATCTTTTGGGATCTTTGCTTTGATCTTAAATATGTTTCCTTGAGATGAACAAAGTTGAGATTTCTAGAATTAGGTAGGACACCTGGTTTACAACTACCCAGAAGGCAATGCTGTCAAGCCTTCATACTTATCATATGTATGGTGGTTTATTGAGACCCAGACTTGTAACTGTGACTACTGTGGAATACAACACCCAATCACTTCTTCCTTTCTCAGAGGACCTACCGAGCCATGTACGACTACAGTGCCCAGGATGAAGATGAGGTCTCCTTCCGAGATGGTGACTACATTGTCAATGTGCAGCCCATTGATGACGGCTGGATGTATGGCACCGTGCAGAGAACCGGGAGAACGGGCATGCTCCCGGCAAATTATATTGAGTTTGTGAATTAATTCTTTCTCCTTGCCCTTTGAGCTTTATTCTGATGTATTCTACACCCAATCTTTTTAAAAGATAGAAGATACTTTTCAGATAACTTGGCAATTATTTTACAATAATGTATCCTTACTTTGACAATTAGACACACAGGTACCAGGAAAAGGGAATGACTTTTGGGCTGGAAACAGCAGCATCCATAGTAGTTCCTGCAAACAAAACCATTAGGTCTGGAGACCTGGTGCTGCTAATTGTGTTTGTGGTTTCATTTAATTGGCTATTCAACCCTCCTGGGACATGTATTTTTGTAGACTTTAATAGAGATGTTGATTGTCCCTTAAATGTAACAAGTGTATGAAACTTCTTAGCTGTCACTTGGAATCATCTGAAGCCAATTCTCATAGTCCAGCAACACAGCCAATAATCTAAAAACTGTTCAGCTTTTGAATCGTTGGGTAATTTTCAATTCAGATGAGAATTGCCTAGTATAATAAATGGAAACAGTGGAGGAATGAGTCTGATTAAAATCATATTGACTGTAGCCTTAGGGAGCAGGCAGGAAACTTGCCCTTTTCCTAGGCTCACCAGGATCTAGTTATTTCTCATGTGTTTCATGGTATAGCCTATCTCCATTTACGTTCTGTGGAGCGGAGCATGTGCTCAGGTCCTCAGAATATCAGGACCAGGTAACTTCACAGCTACTCTGCAAAGGGCAAAGTTCAATGTCATCTGTATTATTTCCCTAGTAGCCTCTATCCTGCTGCATGTCTTGTGGGCTTAAGCTTCTGTAACATGGCAGCTGCTTGCCCATCCTTGTTATAAAAGTCAGCAGTGTGACTGATCTCTCCCTGCCCTTCCTTCTAGCTGTCAGCTCACCAGAAAACATTTTGAAAAGTTGCTTGAGACTTTCTTGCTGTATTAAACTCTAGTTTTGAAAGACTCATGCCTTAGGAAATACACATATACTCTAGTAAATAGAAAATTTATGTATTTACTGGATCGCTTTCACTCACTTAATACCACCATTGATTTGAAAGTGAAATGAATTCAACAGCATCCCATGTGAGGGGAAATGGACTATACAGTACACTGGGAGAAAGCCAAAACACAAAGCAGTAAGCAGAAGTTTGCTCCACAGTTAGATGGCTTGGTCTTATATTTTGGCAATTGGTCTTCAGACTCTGGGATGGAAATATAGCCACTAAGCATGTTCATAAAAAGGATTCCTTTCCCCACCCTGCTTTTTGTTTTCTAAGTCACCTTTGGGATTAGAAAAGAAAGTCAACAGTGATCAGATCAGCAGATGATTCACTAAGAAGGAAATAGGTGTCTTGTGTTGAGTGAGTGTGCAGGGTTTTCATAGTGTCACAGCCCCAAGTAGAACCATTACTGTTGTGTCTTCAATTTGCTCTGGAGTCTGCAGTCAAAGTCAGTGGATGTTGATGTGTATCACAACTCTGTTTTTCTCATGGTGCCTCTTACTGTGACTTGAAGCAGGGTGGCATTTGTGTGAGATCTGAAACTGAGGAAAGCAGAGTCACAAAACTATACGAAGATACTGAGATTGTGGGACTATCTACACAATATGTTCAAGGAAATTAATAAAGCACCCACCAGTGAAAAACATTTGAATGAAATGTTTGTGAGGCCAAAGCTCCAAGTTGGTTCGTTTAAACCTTTGAAGAGTGAGCCCGTGCTCTGGAAAATCAGTAGTTTCGTTAGATTTGCCTTAAAGAAAAGTTTTATTACACTGAGCTGTGTTTCTGTGACGCTGATAGAAAACTGAAAAGAAAAATAACTAGAGATGTTCCTGGAAAGAGTTTTATAGACTTGTAAATAAAGAGCTTACCTAATTTCCTGTCATTTAAACAGCCAGTCATGATTAACCTTCCTGTTTTCATGTCTTGAACACACACCTACAAAGACAAACTGCACTTGCAATAATTTTGCAAAAATCTTTACACTAATAACAAGGGTGATAAGCTGGCTGATTTATGTTATGTGTCTTTATGCTTTCCCAGGCAGACGATGTGTGTGTGTTTGTGATTATTAAAAAAAAAAAAGAGTAGTTGTTGATTAAAACTTCAGGCTAAATGCAGGGCAGGTATGATTTTTGATAATAGTGTGTGTGCAGGAAGCTCAACAGAAGTCGACTTTGAAATGATACTTAACATCAGCTGGTCCTCACAAAGTTGCAGCTCAATGGTCCATGTTCTTGCCACTCATTCATTTCAAAGTCAGACCTGAATGTGAAAGTCAGTACATATTTGGGAAATCCATGTCCTAAATGTTGAGCCTTACTTAATGTTTGCATAGCAAGATTTTTCTGTTTTAAGTCCTGCAGAATTAAGATCTGATCTGGATTCAATAAAGGGCAGCTTTTTTTTCCCCAATACTGACTGAGGCAGAACAAGACATTGCATGCTCTTGAGGTCATGCATTGATAGTCTTGACACTGTTACTAGCACTTGTAAGGATGTTACCCATCTCATCAGAAAATCTGAGCATAGATGTGTCATACCCAGATGCCATCCTTTGGAGCATCATTTAAAAAATGCTGTATTCTTAACACACTTTCCACATGCCCCCACCCCCTTGCAGTTTGGCAGCCAGTATCTCACATGGAACACTAGCAGCTATAGATGAATTTAAAAACAAGTCCATTAGAAATCAGGTTAAAGGAACCTAAACACCAGACACAGAGATCATGCATCTGTTCCTAAATGGGATGGTTTCTCAAGCCCGACGGAAGCACAAGAAGCCGCCTGATACCCTTCTCCAAGTCTCTGAAGACAAATGTATTTGGTTCAAGTTCCTCTTGAGAAAAGTTTAGCAACAGAATATAATGCTTTTGTTGTAAGCTTTTGTAGTAGATTAAAAAAATATTTCTTGTTCTCTGGAGAACTTTCTATTTCTAACCTGTGACAAAATGAATGCTTCATGTCTTCATTGTGTTTGCACATCTGCAGCACACCCAGTTTGAAATTTTGATCTGGTTGTCATTCTCCATGGAGTCCCTGCATCTTCCCATGTCTCTCAGCCTCCACAGAGCACCCAGGGATGTCTAAGCACAATTTCCACAAGCACCTTGTGTGGGGATGGGTGATATTATGATAGTCCTTCCCTTGTCCAGGCTCTTTATTTGAAGATGTTGAAGATGCCATTTGGCCAGTTTTACTGTAGTCTTTCATTCTAGGTCCTCTCTGTGCTGGGGTTCATAACACTCTAAGAATGCTGGGAAAATCTTTTCTACAAATGAGAGCAAGGGACACACCCAGTTTTCAGGTTCCTCCACCTCTAGTAGAATACTTTCAGTGAAATGATAAAGAAAGTAAGTGTGATCTTTAATAACACAGCCCTATATACAGTGGATATAGTTTATACTAATGTTATAATATAGATATATACAAAATAGGTGCCTTTTGATTATACTTGTTTATCATTATGGTCTTGGAAAGGAAAGCAAGCAAGCAAGCAAGCTTCTGCATATTCTATTACAATATTTTATGATACATGATTGATATTTTTGTGGTGAGAAGTGAGATGCCCCTACCTGAAAGATGTCACAGCTGGTTGTATATTCCTCCTAAAGGTTTAGAACTTTAGACAATATTGACTTCTTCCATTTTCTGAAAAGTTGGGATTTTTTTCTTGTAGATTTATATGTAGTTGAGATATATAAGCATTAAGTTTGTTTGGGGTTTAAAATACTTATGGTGAGATAGATTAGTTATATTATGAGGCTGAATTCACTGAGTAAGATGAGCTTTATGGCCTGATTATGTTTATGTTTTAACTGTTTGCCTTTGATAATCTGAATGTGGCTACATTTGCACTTGTATGGGGTAATACAATGTGGTGATAAAGCTTCAGTTAGGTAGGAAGCTATGTAAACTAATTTAAGATGCTAAAATGAAAGGCTCTCTGAAGTATTCTGTACCCTGTAGGGCCCTTTTCCAGGCAAGTAGTTGTCAATAACTAATGATCAAAAAAAGTTAAGACATTGTGGGAAACTTCTGTGGTCATCATTCCAGGATGCATAAGACTACTAGAATCCTCCGGCCTAGAAGGCTCCCTGGGCAAATGTCCTTCCCAATTGTCTGTGACTTCAGTATATCCACAGGACTCCATATGCTTACTGTGTCTGATATGTGGTATCCTGTTTGCATAGCATACATGTTGCTGTTGTCAACTATTGTTCAAGATGGTTTCCTTTAAAGGAAAGAGAGAAAAACTGCATTTCAGCCTCCTTCCTTCATGTCCATACAATGAATTGCTAAGCATTTTGGAAGTAGCAACAAGTGTGTAACAGGCATGATATTTGTGGGACTGTTGGCTTTTGACCTGTGATAAAAAGAGAAATTTGAATGATGTAGCTTGGCTTCTGTTTGCTTTGAAATATGCACAATTGTGGTTGGTGATTAATTTGTAAAGTTGTACTAACTTTGAGAACATAATGATTGTGAAAGAAGCAGTAAATGTTTTTTCAATGGGAGGGGAATCACAGAATGATTTAAGGTTATTAGTATAATTTGGCTTTTGTTATGCAAATTGTTAACACCAGCTATTAAAATATATTTTAGTAGAAATGCTTTAATTCATGTTTTTTTCCTCTACACTGTGAATCTTGAAGCCTTGGTGGACCAGAGACACATTGTGATGTCCAAAGGACTAACCTATGCAAATGAGTTCACATCTTATTGATGTCACAGTAAACATGTGCTAAGAAATTATTTCTCCGCATAACATGCAGCAGTATTGGAATAGCACAGGAAGCCCGGCCTCCCATGCATTACACTGTAGTCTCTCACAATCCCTTCAAGGCCACCAAAACCATTAGCATTTGTGGGAATCTGATTGGTATCTATTGAAACTACTTGAATGATACCGGGAGGAAGATGGCAGACAGGCATCTTGGCTGTGGCTTTCATAGAACTATGTTCTCACATATTCTCTCTTCGGGGTCTTGGTATTCTGTGTCCTCTATCTGTATTTGTAAATTCATTAATTTCCTATCAACACATTTGGTTTGCTTAAATAAATACAGGATGTAACAAAATTGTTCTACTTCTTGGCTGTCACCGTGGTTTCTTGGAGCACAGGTCATTGGGTGCAGGCAGTGCATTGTGAGTTCCTTATGATGACTCGCATCCAGTCACATTAAAGATGTATGAAGGTATAGTGCATTCATTTTAAAAAGCTGTGCAGAGTGTGTTTTCCTTCCTCAAACTAACACAGTTTTAAGTAATAATAATATGCTTTTTAAACCCACAGTCTTTCTGATTTTATACCAAAGTATTGCTGTGATGCATCCTGGTACTTAACTTTTTTCAAAACTAAAATCATGACTAGTCCAGTGTTAGTTTACTTGTAAAATGAAGGAAACAACTTGGAGGAGGGAAAGAGCACAGATGATACTTTGATTTTCCATCTAAGAATAACTCTTTATCATAGATCATAATTGTTTCCTTTATCATAATTGAAAAGCAAGCTAGCTCCTATTTTTACCCTCATCTACATTTCAATAAATTGGATCTTGGCTTTATTGTTTCATTTTGTAAAATCTTTAGCATAATTCTTCCAAACTGTAAACTGACAAACTTTGTAGACTGACAAATTTAAAACAGGTCAATCAAGAAGCTTTGCAAATGGCATTGCTAATTGAGTAAACACCTCTACTAAATCTTTGAATGTTCTGTTTTTTATATTCTATAAGTATGAATTGAATATCTGGGGTATTATGAATCAAACATACTGATGACATTTGACATTATAAAATAAATAACACAGGTATCTGTTTACTTGAAGAATTTACTGTCCCTTCCTTCCTCCAAGACTTTTTTATTTCATGATTATAATTGTACTCTTTGAAATCTGGGCCACAGAGGAAATGAATAACTGTCCTAGAATAATTTAGGTTTCAAATGTCTTATGCTTATAAGTTTATTCTAATTTTAAAACTTGTGAAGTTAATTGAAACTAATTTAAGAATTGAGATGTAGCTGAGCACTGCATGCTTACCAAAACAAATTTCTATAAAAATATTCAGATATAATATACTGGAAAATAGATGAAAGGAAAATTGCATTATTTTCTTTTTGTAATCTGCTTCTGCTATACACAAAGAGTTTTGTGATGGCAGAAAACTGGATTAAGTCCAAGGGCGAGCTTCAACTTTTTTTTTCTGTAGTTCTAAGCAAAATTCTTTGGCCTTTGTCTATTGTATTTTTATTTGTGAGCAGTAGAAGTCTGATGGAAAGGGGACAGTGAGAGAATGGACTCAAAGACTCAAAGTCAATAATAGAACAAAGGGCCCAGTTGCTGATTCGGGTTTATATCATGGTGTTTTGATCTTTGCAGCTTTTTAGTAGACAAAAATAGAGTAATGAGTGAAATCTGAACATCTGTTCCTTCACTTCAGAAAGGGAGGATGTCTCTGCATTCTTCCATCAGTTCTGAGAATGCTCTCTCAGTGGAGTGGTTTCTGACACTTGGTAGTCACACTTTTCACCTTTTTCCAGGGTGGTTGCTGACCAAAGACACATATTCCAGATTGGGGCTCATTCTATGTGGGTTACCACATTCTGCCTAGCATGAACTCAGGTCTCTGTCCACAGCTGATTAGATTAAGGTGACCCTGGAGGGCTGCCCAAGAACCTTTGTCCACCTGTCAGGCATAAGAGTGGCAATCTGTTTAGATATCCCAAATATGCCCGATTTTAAACTCTGATAGACAGAGAAGGCGGTTCACTGGTTATGTTATTGAAAACTGTTAGATATAGAAGTCAGGAGAAAGCATAACCTGTGGATAAGTGGAAAGTATGGATGGGGAAAACCATGAAGAGAGGAAAGATACATGGAATAGACAGGGCAAGAATTAAAGAGGTGGTGGCAGGAGCCGTAGAGTGATGGGCAGAATGGATTCTTGTTCATGGTAGCCACTGTTTAGGAGAACTGATTTCTGCTACTGGGGCCTTGCCCAGGCTCCATTTGATCCACAAGAAGTTAGCCCATTTTCTCCCTATATGTCTGTTTGAGGCAAATCCTGTGTTTCTTTCTGTGGTGCACATAAGCTTTTTATTCTTTGGGGTGAGTTCCAGGTGTTCCTCCCTGCCTTATCACAGGTATTTGATGAAAGCCTTTACATAGGTCCTTTGTCACAGACTAAAGGCTCACATCCGGCAAATGGGGTGACAGGCCAACACATGCTAAATGATGGTGAGATATGTGAGATATTGGTGATATTATTAAGGCCACTCCACGTAGTTAAAAGGAGATTTATTTAATGGTGTAACTTACAAATGAAGGGATAGGTAGGTTGAGGGTTCTGGGAAAGACGCAGCGTAGTCCGATGGTGTTCTCTGGAGAACTCTGGAGAATTCTCCTCCATCTACCTCTAGCGCCAGGCTCCCAGCAGCAAGAGCGCTGGGCACATCCTGATCTCGGGTCTTCAGGGCCCTCCCTTGGCCCCGCCTTGTAGGCGTGATAGTTACCAAAGCCTCAATGGGGGTTGGAACTTCCAGACCAAACCTGCAATGGCCACCCACTACGTCTCTCCCTTTTTGTCTAAATAAGAAGGTTCTAACTTAATACAAAACTATATATAAAGAAATGGTTATCAGATATTGTCCAGGAGTAATGAGGGATAATGACCTAGATAAGATGGAACTACAACCAATGTGAACAATATCAAGCAAGAAACACATACTAAAATCTAGAGAAGTCTAGAGCGTAGGTAAATGGTATGTTGCAAAGATCATTCCAAAGGCTGTCCTATCCTAAAGAACCTGAATCTAATACTTAATATGTTCTATCTAAAATAATCTATCTATCTGTCTATCTATCTATCTATCTATCTATCTATCTATCTATCTATCTATCTATCTACTAAGTTGTAACTATAACTGCTAGTCTTTAATCCCATCAAAGACATGAGAAGGAATATAATGGTACCTGAGAAATGGTAGATGGATGCAAGCAACTTTCGGGAATCTTCCAAGAGTAGACTGAGACAGCTGGCAGCTTGGACAGTCACCTAATGTTTCTCAGCATTGTTGGTGCATTATAGATTGTTACATCTGAAATCATTGACTAGCCATTTTTGATTCCCTTAATCAATGCCTAATGAGAACACCCATTGGTATTTATACACATTTCTTGGCATGTACATTTTTCTTTTAGAAAGAACTTCTGGCTTCCAATATTGTGGCACATAAAGTGATTTATGGGCCTCAACACCTTTGGTATTCATGGAAAAGTAGCTCTAATTTTGAAGTGTCCTGCTTGTGTTGGAACAGCCAGTTTCATTTAAGTTTTTTTTTAAAAAAAAATGTTATTAAATTGAAGCAGAATTACAAATATTTTCATACAACATATTTTGATCATGATTTTTTTCCCCTTCCCAGCTCCTTTCTGATCCTTCCCACCTCCTTTCCTTGTTGCAGTGAAGTCCACCTGGAGCAGGGAGGAGAATGATTGCTCATCTACACATGCCTTTCATGTACAGTGGCCGCAGTGGCTGCAGTGACTGCAGTGACTGCAGTGGCCGCAGTGGCACAACTGCTGTCACCAAAGGGAGAAATCCCAAGAAGCCAACTGCCTTTGATGAGCTGAATCTCAGTGAGGACAGTTAGAGAGTTCTGATGGTGTCCAGATACTCAGAGTGTAGTTAGAAAGTCAGGGTCTCATTTCCTTGGAGACTTTGCAACTCACTGCAAGTTGAAATAATACAGAATCATCAGGATACTGACAGGTAGTTGGATCATGTTTTTCTGTATGAGGGATCTCACCACATGGACATGAGACCCAGTCAAGTATCATGGGATACAGGTGTCTTAGTTTGGGTTTTTATTGCCATGAAGAGACTCCATGACCACGACAACTCTTATAAAGAAGACATTTAATTGGGGTTAGCTTACAGTTTCAGAGGCTCCATCCATTATCATCATAGCAGGGAGCATGGTGGCATGCTTCAGAGGAATAGCTGAGAGTCCTACATCTTGCAGGTAACAGGAAGTTGACTGACACACTCTGTGGCATCCTGGGCATAGGAAACCTCAAAGCCGACCCCCAAAGTGACACACTTCCTCCAACAAAGCCATACCCACTCCAACAAAGCCATATCTCCTAAAAGGGCCACTCCTTATAAGATTATGGTGGCCAATTGTATTCAAACCACTACAACATGCAAAGCCATCACTCATGGGTCTCATAAGGCTGAGGGATGTTAGGTACCTGAGCTGCTGAAAAGGCACAGGGATGAGGGAAGAGAAATACATTCCAGCTCCAATGGACAACAGGTCAATTTCTCCTTATATTATGGCCTTGAACAAAACATTAAAGTTGGCCTGGAGAGATGGCTCAGAGGTTAAGAGCACTGACTGCTCTTCCAGAGGTCCTGAGTTCAATTCCCAGCAACCACATGGTGGCTCACAATCATCTGTAATGAGATCTGGTGCCCTCTTCTGACCTGTAGTCATACATGCTGTATACAAAATAAATAAATAAATCTTAAAAAAAAAACATTAAAGTTCTTAGCATAAATACGTATGGAGTTTAGTAGAATTCGTCCCAAAGGTGGAAGCAGGAGTGGGGGCAGACACAGCATGAAGACAGAGATTCCAAGTCTCTCCATCCCATTTTAACCACCAGTCAGATTTCAGCACGTCCAAGTGTAGATTATGTGGTTTTAGCAAAAGAGACCTTCAAGTTTTTGTGAAGTAATGTAGGCAGTTGTTATCATAACTTACACATAGAGGCTGCTGTCTACTGCAAATGAAGAAATAAAACCTTCATTTACATCAATGCTGGTGAGAAACTATCTTCATTGTCTAAGCTTTAATGAGACAGCTTTGATGAGCTATTATTCCCATGCTGAATGACTGCTTTACTGCGAATTGATGGATGATGGCTTTTTATGGTGGAGGGGTGCTGTGTCAGTTTGCTTCTCGCTGCTGTGATAAACACTACCACCAAAAGCATCTTAGGGAGGGAAGTGCTCATTGGGCTTTCACTTTCATGTTATAGTTCATCTGTGGGGGACCTCCAATGCCAGACTTC